TTTAAATTAAGAAATACTAAGAAAAATGTTTGCGTATGAAGATGAAATTGAAACTGTATGTTGTAATTCAAAAAAGTCTATGGATAAAAAATATTTAAAAATATAATTTTTTAATAAATATATTGTTTTGTAACGTTTTGAAACCATGTGATAAAAATTTATAACTTTTTGAATAATAAGTGTCCTACATTAAATTAATCACTTAAAATAGGTCAAATTGACTGAAGAACAGTAATTACAAACCTGTTCAGTAGATTTTTTAGGATTCGTGGCACTGGTCGCAACTGAAGAACATTGACAGAAAGTCTGTCCACTGGACATGTGGATTGTCTTAGTAGCCATTCAAGAATACAACCTTTGCAGAATGCATGTTCACATGCTGGTGCCTGAAAAATAAACAGTTGATAAAACATTGCACAGTAATATATCACAAATGCAAGCTCTACTACAATGTTTAAAAGARACATGAAGTGTTAGGTATTATTAAATGAATAGTGTATAAATTTTACTTGGACTGGGTCCTGCAGCACTCCAGTACATATGGGGCAGAGAAGCTCTTCATCAACTTCGCCAACAAAACGTACTATGTCAAAACCCATAGCTGTACATTKAATTTAAGACTATCAACTTATCCAACGTTAACTGTTTATTGTTTCGTTATCACGATGATCTACAAGATCCAGAAAACAAGAAAATCTTGAACAAAATATCGTTATAACATCAAAAATCATTAACCAATAATCATTAATCAATACATCAATTAATTACTTATTTACATACTACTATTTATTTATTTAATGTCGTTATCATAAAAAAAAAAAATTAAAAAATAGTATTATCGTAATCCGGATATAGACAGTCTTGCCTCGATGACGACACAGATATTATGTCTCGTCAATGACATATTAAGGTACCTACCGGCTACCACCACAGTAGCACGATTTAAGATATATATATCTTAAATCGTGCACAGTAGTGATGGTAAAATGCTATTTATTTAAATAGCAATAGCTATTGTAAGATAGCAGTGATTAATAACAGCTATTGCTATTTTGTATTTTTCTATACACACYATTACTGATTCGTTATTATCACATATTAGCGGCTATTGCCTATTTGTAAGATATATATTTTTATAATTATAATTAAAATTATACTTTGGCTAWTGCCTATTACAAGAACAATTTAATATCATTGTTTTATATTACCATATTAAATTGTATTATTTAG